CCTTTCACTTCCCACAGGCTTGAATCTTCCCTATCTCCCCTTGCAGATAAGTGGAAAACCCGGTAACTTGCATTACTGCTGTTTGCACACAGAGCTGAGAACAAAACCACTGAATTTTAGAATAAATCCCAAAGACTTTGCTGGCTAAGCAGCTTGTTTCTCTATATGGCTTGAAGCAGTTAATCACCTTTCAATAACTGACATACCTGTTGCAGAGCCATAAATTTGTCTTTGAACACGTCTTTTAGGTCCACTTAAGCCAACCTTCAATTTGTCTTAAGACTGGTTGTATTCTAACAGTAGTCTATTACTAAACACTTATCAAGTCTTAGACCTTTCCTTGTCTAAAAGTTCTCTCATGTGCTTATTGAAGAATTTTTTTTTTAGGTTTGCCTTAATTTCTTCTGTTGAGAAATGACTGTACAAATATTTCAAAATGCTACCCTGCCTAAACTCAGTAAGATTTTTCTTTTGTCATGCTCAAAATATTGGATTCTAAAGGCTTTTTAAAAGGGAAGGAAGGGAAGGCTCAACATGGCTCTTGTTCCTGATAGAGACCAGATAATGTTTTCCCATAACGAGCAGCAGTAGCCTGTCTGCATGACTGATGCTCCTGGAGTTTAACAGGGATTTGGGTTTCTGTGGGAGATAAAGCATTAGAAGGAACAGAAACCAGTTTGTATTCATAGCAGCCTCTAACCCGCAGACTTTGCTTCAGGCATCGCTGCCCCAGTGAGGTGACGAACGACACTCCCTCGGTTCCAGACGGAGGAAGAGACTAAGCGTTAGCCAATGTTCTTTTACTGACAAATCCCACAGCTCTGCTAGGCTATACCTGTAATCTTAAAAGCTTTCTTCTCTGCTGGCTTCAGCCTAGAAGTTTTGGTGGGGGTTTTTTTTCGGGGGTGGGGGGTGTGCAGTTCCCTTTTTCCATAAACTCCACTATGAAAACGCAGCAAACAAACAGACCAACCCCAAAACCTAACCCCATAATAGACCTACAGCTTTTAACTTGTCGAAGTATTATTGTTGTCTGACCTAAGTAACAAGAAACTTCAGAGTACAACTTCAGTGGCAACATTATAACACTTTAAAGAAATTTAATCATCTCTGTTACCAGTTCTGAGGTAGTGCCTTGGTTAGTACCTTCGAAGCTGATGAGTTGGGGTTTCTTTCTAGTTTAAAAAAAAAAAAAACAAAAAACCAAACCAAAAACTCATACCTTCAAATATGTAAAAGCAAAGGACAGGGATTTAACTCCTGTGAAACAGGGGCCGGAGTCAGTCAAGAGAAAGGGAGTTTTTATACAAACAGTAATTGAATGCTTGTGGTCAAGTGACAGATCCAGACTTGCCACTGGAACTTCATACCTCCAAAAGGCTTTATTTTTAGACACTTACAGAATGTACACTTGTAGGCTTTGCCTGGTTACCTAGAAAACATGACAGGTTGGTAAAATATGATTGTCACAAAAAACCCAAACACCAACCCCAAGTAAACTTTGTAACCAGAATGGGGACAATTGATTTGCTCATGAATTTTGCCAGGAAGGTTGCAGTGCCAGACCAGCCGTCCATGAAACACATTAAAGTTGCTGCCTTCAGGTACAGGAAAAAAATACACAAAAACCACAAGAATCCTCAAAGAGAAAGGGCAAGGAACACTAGTTTGGCAGGTTTTGTTTGGTATTTTTTAAGTTTTCAGGTAAACAACCCTTCACCTGCATTTGAACCAACCTTGGCACACATGTTCTATCAAAAGCAAGCTTAAAACCCAATCTGTAACCACCTATTAGTAAACATTCACCTTTAACCATAAATTAGAAGCCAGTGGAAGGATTTGCCAGTAACATTCATACTTAATTATTTATTTGGTTTCCATATTTAAGTAAGCCTGCAAGGCCAGACTTACATTATTACTAGTGTTAAGTAGGAAAAGGAGTAAAGAGCCAAATCTGCAGCTGCACTTGCATCATTCCATTCATGCCTGAAAGAGCGGTCGGACGACAGCGGTGGCGGGGTTTCTCCCCACAGCCTACGCTGCAGTCTGCAGCATTAAAACGGGAGAGAACCAAGACTGCAGGAAGGACTCTAAGGCCGCAGAGCTTCATCACAAATGCACTCTGGGCTTCATAAATGAACTTCAGCAGCGCTTCAGTACTGAGTTGCTGAATTAGTGAGTTACACTTCATGGAAAAACTACACGGCTTTGTCCTAAAAAAATAAAACCGACCCCAAAGCAGAGCCAGGAAGACCATTATATTCAAAGTACTAGGTCTTGATCTGTATTTTGTCCTATTCTGCACAACAATGCCTGCATTTCCTGGAGGAAATAAAACCCCACAAGTGTTTCTTGTAGAGAAAACAATTATCAGAGAGACTCAAACAAAGCATAAGTAAGGTTTAACTATTCTTTGACCTTTACAATGAAGATAGTAAAATCAAACTGATTTTGCAGGAAGAAAAAAAATGTTAGAAAATAGCTTAGAACTAAGATATCTAAAATGAAACAAGATCAGAAGCAGAGTGCCAAGCTGCTTTTACATGCTGTGTCTGACTCTGAAGGATAGAAAATTTAAACCTTAGCCAAGGAAAAGTAGATCTAGCTCGATAAAAAGATACAAACAAGCACGTGAAAGGATAACTCTGTGGTCCTTAGCAGAAATTCAGGCTGTTCAGATCAAGTAACAACGTGGTACTTGTTTTTTTTTTTTCCCTTTAAATCAAGAAGGTTTAAAAACAGATTTCCTGCCATAATAAAGCACTTCTGGGAAGTGGTGTACAAATGAGGCAGAAGTGTCAAAACAAATGACTACTCAAACTAGTTTAACACTAAGTCTAGTCTAGGAAAACCAGTCATATATTAAACTGGAAGTGTATTTTGTTTCTAAAGATGATGAGAAATAGTCCCTTTGAGTCCCTTATGTTGCTTAAACAAAATTTAACACATTGTCAGTATCAACCTGCCTGTCATTTTAATTAATAGTGAATTTTGACCAAGTGATTGACACAAATGTTACAAGGATGAACGCCTCCAGAAAATTATTATATTAATTGCACTGAAGTTTTGAGGGATCTGATGTTATTCTAAATTAGTCTTCGTGTCAACTTTTTATAAAAATGAAAGCTAGTGTGCTTTAAAGCACTTTTTTTAGGTTGTCAGCTTTAAATCACTAGTGACTTTGTATGTAGGATGAATGAGGTTAATTTAGATCCACAAGACACCAAACTACAGGATTAAGTCTACGCAACATACCGCTGCCATAGGACGACAGTTTTGTATTCTTCAGTTACCATGAAGTTGCTTCAAAGCAAAACTCATCCTTTACCCATCTTGCTGTTCAGCCAATCCTAAATCATAAAGGTAAGAATTTGAGTATTGGTCTTTTAAAACAATTAAAAAAACCCAACAAAACTTCACGTAACTTCACTGTGATGAAGCTTCACTGCATTTCTTGCAGCAAGGGAAAGGAAAAGGCTGCACTTGGGTTAGGAAGTCACGGCATATGCAAAACTACCCTTCTTTCTCCAGTAGGAAGTTTCTACATAAACCAGATACAAGCGTGATAAACAGCCAATGCTACAGCTATACCAGATGTAGCAGCACTAATAGCTGTAATGGGGGAAGAGCAGAGTAACTCACGGCAAGCATTAAAAACCTCCAGCCATGACTTTGTACAGTAGAAGCTGTAACACATAGTACCTGTATTTTTATGTGGAAGCCTGGGAAAAAAAATATTTATCTATCTGGTTGTCCTATCTGATTGATAGTTGGGTAAGCCTTCTTTTCCTGCTCCGCAGCTATACACATCTTGGTGCCATGATGAGGTGCAACAGCTGGCGCGAAAGCTAAAAGTGAAAGGCATACTGTAAATGAAGGGCAGTGTAAAACCTTTTATAGCGAGATTTAGTTAAAAAAAAAAATCCCTAGTGGAGCATCAAGATAAAGAACTGGTGCTTAAGTACTCCTAGCTCCTGTCCTATGCAAGAAAGCTTTTCTTTATCCCTTGGTAGCTTCCGCTGTTCCATCTAAAACACATATTTTTGTGGTTAGTTACACTAGCGTGCCCAGCATTTCAGCAGCGTTAGATGATTAGCAGACACTTCTTATAGTACTAACGTGCAAACCGAAGTCTGGACACTTGCACCAACGCTCAGCTTATAAGGATGTGACCTAAGCAGAAACCAGTGCTTTACGGAATTACAGTCAGTAGCTGAACAGCCACACACCGAACTGGATTGTTCAGCCTGTACAAGAACCTGCAAGCGTAACCTAACGTCTATGGAGAGATGGCTCCAGTTCCGCTACTTCTCCTGTGATGTAACTCTTCTATTCCAAGCTTGGGCACGCAAGGAACAGAACTCAACCTGCTTTCTAGGACACGTGAGTTACACATGATTCAACAGAGGATTTGTGTTTATTTGTTCCATTTACATCAATATAAATCTCCTTCGGTCAAATAGTAATAAAAAGGAAGTAGTCCCTGGAATTTCACAGTTCAACAGAATGTATATGTAGAAATCTGTTACTGTAGACTTACCACAGGTGAAATCTGCAAACAGAGGTACAGATGTAAGCCATAAACCTGCAAGTCATGAACTT